TTAAAAGGACCGAGATATTCATGTATTGATTTAATCAAAAGTCACCATTCAAGTTCAATACATATTTCATGTAACATGTCGAGATGTTTGAAAATGTCTCTTACTGGTAAGTTACATTTCAATATTTTCTGATGTAGATCAGCAATCTGGTAAAATTTGACCAGTTTATAAATATAACTAGCAGAATACACAAGTTCGTGCTTTGCGAAGTAGGGACACAACTCATCCTTATGTAGCTTCAATTTTTGTTTCAAAACAAAAATAGTTTCTCCTTGTCCGAACGTATAGAACAGTACATTTCGTCTTGTGTGATCGATTTTCTTCTGTAGATTTTTAATTCTAGTGATACAGTCCTTTTCATTTCGCAAATCAGGCGGTAATTCTGTTAAATCATCATCTTCTTGTTCTTGGTAACTTTCCATCAATTTTCGTTTGAACATTTCCCTTTCTTCCTGCTTCGTTCGTTTCTGTGCAATTTTTTTCCTCTCTTTTTCACATTTCGATATTTTCGCTGATTGCTCAGCAAAGCGCTCGAGTTTTGTCCAGTACTCGTTCAATTCCTGATCGCTAGGATAAGCGTTGCATAAGTAGTTTCTGAAATCATCCATGATTGTACAAAATACCTTCCAGTCTTCTCCGTTCATTTCTGTATAATCCAAACAAAACAACGTCACAAAGGCAGTTAGCAACACTGCAAAACGATAACGTCTTAAAGCCCGCGTAAAAAGGACTATTGACGTACTGGCTATACAATAAGGGCATTACTAAAATCTTGTGCGTATCAAATGCGCATGCGCCGTAAAAAACGTCACACATCATTCCGTTACACTTCACTCCACACATCGTTTCACGATGTGCTCCATTCCGCTTCACTTCATGATGTGCTCCGTTTCAAGCATAAAAAAAAAAACTTTTCCAATCCGGCAGAAATGTCGGATCGGAAAAATTTTTTGTACCCCACCCGGCCCATTATTTTTTTTTTTTTTTTGGACTTAATTTCTCACAAGGTCGTAAGAGAAGTACTCCTGCTTGGTCTTTTTGCTGACTTTAAAGCCTGTACTTCTCACGAAGGCTCCTACCATGGGTCCTGTCTCTCTGTTCAGTCCACTGCAGGCCCACACCCTATTCGTTTCTCCTTCTCTGTTTTTCAAGGTGAGGATCTTACTCTTTCCAAACTTACCATCTACTTCCACCACTTCCAGGATTTTATAGATCACACCGGTTGAGAGTTCCTTCCATTTCAGGGTTTCCAGGCTCTGATCCTTTGCCTTTTCCTCGAAAACATTATCGTTCATAAAATCGTTGTCTACGATTTGTGGACTTCTGAGTTCCTCCATCTTTTGTACGAAAGACATATTTGTATTTACCCTAGGATTACATCCTTCTAAGGTGTTTGGGTTTTGTGCTAAACTGAAAGACATTCTTGTTTTTACCCTTAGGCTAATTGAAACGTATTGCGTTTGCATTTTATGTTTGGGGTTGGGGTTCCTATGCTAGATTTCCCCTTAAAAATGCGATTGCGGCAGAATCGGCCTTTTCATACTACTTTTCTTTAATATTGTGTTCATCTTTTTTTAATTATCAATACAAATATAAGCAATTCTGTTTGTTAAGTTTAACGTCCAAGTATCGCATATCCAATTATCTTACTTTTCGACAGGATGAAAATATTGCAAAACTTACAAATTGGTATACAATGTAATTTTGACACATCATATGATGTTGGTATACAATGTAATGTTGGCATACAATGTCAAAATGGTATACAATGTAATGTTGGCATACAATGTCAAGATGGTATACAATGTAATGTTGGCATACAATGTAATGTTGATATACAATTTAATATTGGCATATAATGTATTGATGGTATACAATGTAATGTTGGCTAAAAGTGTAATGTTGGCATACAATTCATTGATGTTATACAATATAATGTTGGTATATAATGAATTGATGGTATACAATGTAATGTTGGTATACAATGTAATGTTGGTATACAATGTAATGTTGGTATACAATGTAATGTTGGTGTACAATGTAATGTTGGTATACAATTCATTGATGTTATACAATAAATTGTTGTTGGTATATAATGTACTGATGGTATATAATGTAATGTTGGTATACAATTTAATATTGGTGTACAATGTAATGATGTCATACAATTTATTGATGTTATACAATAAATTGTTGGTATATAATATACTGATGATATACTATGTAATACTTGTACATTATGTTATGTTGGTATACAATCTATTGATGGTATACATTGTAATGTTGGTTGACAATGTTTTGTTGGCATGAGAGGAACTGTTTATTACAACGTAATGTAAGTATACAATGTAATGGTGCCACGTTATATAATGTTGGTATACAATGTAATGCGATAGATGCATTTTTAAATTACAAAAAATGTCAAACGTTGCCAAACCTTTGTTGTATGGCATAGTTTTTTTCTGACTTTTCTGCTTCGTGATGCTTATTTTTTTTCAAGATTTAAATTTCTATGCCACTGCTGTTGGAGGTTTCTTACCATCCGAAAGGTCACCACTTCTGTGTTGACATTAATTATCATTGATATGGTCATATTTATAAATTACCTGCTTACAAAATGTTAAATATTTAGAAATACTAAGGATTTTTACCCAAGGAATAGACTCCCATAGCTGTATTTGTCAAAACCTTTGGGAATTTTTGGCCGACAATGTTTTTCAAATTCGTACTTTATTTGGCCTTTTAACGTTTTTAATTTCAGGGTCACTGATGATCTTTGGTAGCTGAAACGCGCACCTGCCGTACGAAATTATAAGCCTGGTATTTTTGATGAGTTTATCTATCGTATGTTCTTAATAACGTTTTATAGTTAACACTAATAAATGTGTTCGATACCTGGTAAAATGAATAAAATGCCATTTATGAACAAGCTGGATGTTGTCTTAATAATCTTATGCCGTTATATCGCACGTCAATTAATGCTTTTTTTCTAATGCAATGATTGCATGACATGTATGTTAAAACAAATATTAATTCTAAACTATTTAAAACAATGCTTCTTGATTTCTGCCTTCGATGCCTTTTACAGTTGTATGTTATTATTCAGAAGTTAGATGATGTCTTTTGTAAAGAATAGCTAATTGAAGACGCTTTATTGTTATCATTATTCATTAACACTTTCTGATAAAATGTATCTATTATTGTCAGTACTAGCATATACTATCGGTAATGCTGTTTGAAAATGGCCAGGTCACCGTGGACTATTTATTCCAATAATATTCATCGACACGAAATGAAGGTTATCTATTTTAACAAGGTGTTTAACAGTAAAGAATTTGACATTTGGATTGGTGACAGTTTTACAAAATTTCAAGAGTTATCTTTCAGAATTAATTAATTCATACATCAAAAGTTTAATATGTATTTTTACTTTTGAATCTTTTATATTACTATCGTTCATATGCACATAAATGGTCATGTGACATAACGTAATTAAGCTCATATTGATATTGAGAGCATGCCATTGTTAGTAGAGTTACATGAATGTTGGAAATTCATCAATATCAAAAAACATTACAAACTATGTTTAGATCAAAAACATAACATACTATGTTTAGATCAAAAACATTACATACTATGTTTACATAAAAAAAACATAACAACTATTTCAAGATCAAATATTTTACCTCCATTCACAAAATATTAGCTTCTGTATGACGTTTTACTCTTGTCGTCATGAAACGAGTTTGTATAAGTGTGTAAGAGTTTAGTTGCCATTACTCAGACCGATAAAAAGACGTACACACTATAGGAATTACATTTTACTTCGTCCGAAATCTAACCTATAAATGTTAGATCCCTCCAAATAATAAGTCCTTCCCGAGGAAAGATTTGACCCTATACTTAATTCTGTGGCATTTTGGAAAATTCGCCAACACTGTGTCGAGCGAAATAGACTAATCGGCTAATTAAGCAATCTATTACAGTAGATAATGCATGGTGGCATGTAGATAGTTACCAAACCGTCATATCAATATGATTTTATTGTATATATCTAGATATGTGAGAATTTTGTACCCTTTCTCTCTTGAGAATTTCAACCTATACACACAAAACACGATTTAGGATTAATACATTAAATTGTCCTGTGTAAGGTAAGGGTTGAGTGCTCGAAAAAAAAAACTGTTTAACCCCGCCACATTCTATATGTTTCTGTCAAGAGGCTGTAATACAGTATTTGTCTTTAGTTGATGTCGATCATCTTGGTTTCTCCTTTAATGTTTCAAACATTTAAAATTAGGTCGTTAATTTCTCGTTTGAATTTGCTTTACGTCTTTTTATGTCGGGGAATTATAGCTTACTAGAGCGTATTAGTTTTGCTCATTGTTGAAGGTCATGCTGTGACAAATAGTTGCTTACATCTTCTTCTTTTGTGTGATTTGTAATGATTGTGTTATAAACACCTATTGTATTGTGAATAAAAGGACATTATGGGCATATGACAATGAGACAGCAATTCATCGACACAAACAACCAAAGGACATTTAAATGTCAGGAAAAGTAAAAATGTCTTTACAATATGACAGACTCTGAATCGCCCCGACCCTTAAAAGGTTGTTAATAAATCAAACTACAAACGACATCCCGACCCTTATGTCATACAGCTAAAAATATAACTAAATACATTCACTGATCACGACAGGCTCATAACAACGTTGGGTATCAAACAATGCGTTTATGTAGTCTCTTCAAACCCTTTTTTAATCTCGATCAGTGTGATATATATATAGAGTTACATAAATTAATACCAAATCAACTTTACGACATAGTAGACGATTTCGGGTTTTCTGTTGCAAAATAATCAAACTGTATCATAAATATCATTTGATATAATATATAAATGCTATTATAAAAATTATCTTTTCTTTTTTTTTAAATTTATTTAATTTCCCAATTTCACCTCAATTACTGAACTCTTTACAAAGAGAGATAACTCAAAAATAGCTAATGTAAATTTTGACATGTTACATAATGAACTGACGTCGATTAGAGACCGGACGTCGATCTGAGTCTTACATATAGGGGTAAATTCAGTAAATAAATATACGTCATCAGGGACCGCCCATTTGGGGGAGAGCTTTCTGTATAAAACTGAAGTCATGTGCTCTTCTGATTGGTAGATAATGTTTGGAATAAATATTTTTTGATAGATGGATAAAAACTAGAGTTGAAAAAAAATAAAAAATAAATGCTGAATGTACTAAATTTTTTTACTACAGGGTTGAAAAGTAATGGGGGTCAGTGAAGGAATTAAGTGCGAATCTACAGTGTTTGTAAACAAGGCCATGTGAATGCCCAAAAATGCCGCATGACCCTATGTTTTTATTGTTGCAAATGATAGGGCTACATTTGTACTTTCATGAATGATATATGAAATTTTCTAATTTCTAAAGGTAAATGAGGTATAAATTTAATTCAAGACATAGATTAGCATTACAGTCAATGGGAGATTTTTTACTGAATTTACCCCTATAGGAAAATATGCATTCTGTCACTGTACTTGTCCAAGGCCACACAATAATCACAAAACTTATTTCCTGTGTATATTAATGTAATGGAAGCATTTTGGAACCATTTGAAGTTGTTTTTTACACAAATTTCTATGTTTAACTCGGCTATCCAAGATGCACTTAGTGTACTGTGAGAGGAAGCATGGGGTATATGGTAAAAATCAGTTTTTGTGTCCAGATTGAAAGAAACAATAGAAATTACACTTGAGAGTTATGATATCAATGAAAGGCATAAATATTCCCCCCATTTTACAACACATTTTGCACATATTTCTCCTCATTATGTGTAAAATCATATGGAAAATCAGAATTACCTCCCTTTGACAGTGTATTTTTTTTATCTGTGTTTCACCATGTTAAGTTGTAGAACAAGTTGTAAATAAGCACTTTTCAAGTATTTTAACACTTGAATAATCTGACCGCATGAAGATATTCATTTATTTTTACATAACGCATTGCGTTTCTTTATTTAAAAAAAATTGTAGATAACTTTTTATGATTACATGCCCTTCATCTATGAAACTAGTGTTGAAATGTTTGTAATTGGATTACTATGTTAAATAATTGCTTTTAAATATTTTAAATTGTTACTTTAATCTTCCAAATGCAAAGTTTGGTCATACCCAGTCTTATTTTTTCATATTTGGCACTTTTTTCTACTTCAGTTTTGTCTGTCTAGTTTTGGCGAAGAAACCATCCTGATGTTGGGGTAACAGGAATTTCTGCAGAGTGATTGTCAATGACATTTTGTGAACTTTACAAGTAATTAAAACACAAATTTAGTAAATTGAAACATAATTGTTGGTTTTTTTTATATGAAACTGCTTAAAAAAGCCTTTGAAAAGTGTTTTTGTGGTCTTTTCAGGGTATTTAATCAAAAACTTCAATATAAGGCAAAATTTAACTAAGAGTACATCAAGACTTTCGTTTCTAGATGTACTTGCAATACTGGTCAAAGCAAACACAGAAAACAATTCATATTTATTAAGCATAGTATTTTACACCATTCTTTTACAAACAGTCAATATGCCACTTTATATACCAAATATACATTGGCCGCAGTATGGGCTGTAGTATAAATTTTCTTCTATCTTTACAAGTTCAGCATTTATGAATGTTGTATTGAAACTGGAACTTGAAAATTGGATACATTACATGATTATTACAAAAAAAGAGGGAAAAGCTACTAAAAAGTCCCTTATAAGGGTAAATTCAGTAAATAAATATACGTCATCAGGATCCGCCCATTTGGGGGAGAGCGTTCTGTATAAAACTGAAGTCATGTGCTCTTCTGATTGGTAGATAATGTTTGTAATAAATATTTTTTGATAGATGGATAAAAACTAGAGTTGAAAAAAAATAAAAAATAAATGCTGAATGTACTAAATTTTTTTACTACAGGGTTGAAAAGTAATGGGGTCAGTGAAGGAATTAAGTGCGAATCTACAGTGTTTGTAAACAAGGCCATGTGAATGCCCAAAAATGCCGCATGACCCTATGTTTTTATTGTTGCAAATGATAGGGCTACATTTGTACTTTCATGAATGATATATGAAATTTTCTAATTTCTAAAGGTAAATGAGGTATAAATTTAATTCAAGACATAGATTAGCATTACAGTCAATGGGAGATTTTTTACTGAATTTACCCCTATAGGAAAATATGCATTCTGTCACTGTACTTGTCCAAGGCCACACAATAATCACAAAACTTATTTCCTGTGTATATTAATGTAATGGAAGCATTTTGGAACCATTTGAAGTTGTTTTTTACACAAATTTCTATGTTTAACTCGGCTATCCAAGATGCACTTAGTGTACTGTGAGAGGAAGCATGGGGTATATGGTAAAAATCAGTTTTTGTGTCCAGATTGAAAGAAACAATAGAAATTACACTTGAGAGTTATGATATCAATGAAAGGCATAAATATTCCCCCCATTTTACAACACATTTTGCACATATTTCTCCTCATTATGTGTAAAATCATATGGAAAATCAGAATTACCTCCCTTTGACAGTGTATTTTTTTTATCTGTGTTTCACCATGTTAAGTTGTAGAACAAGTTGTAAATAAGCACTTTTCAAGTATTTTAACACTTGAATAATCTGACCGCATGAAGATATTCATTTATTTTTACATAACGCAGTGCGTTTCTTTATTTAAAAAAAATTGTAGATAACTTTTTATGATTACATGCCCTTCATCTATGAAACTAGTGTTGAAATGTTTGTAATTGGATTACTATGTTAAATAATTGCTTTTAAATATTTTAAATTGTTACTTTAATCTTCCAAATGCAAAGTTTGGTCATACCCAGTCTTATTTTTTCATATTTGGCACTTTTTTCTACTTCAGTTTTGTCTGTCTAGTTTTGGCGAAGAAACCATCCTGATGTTGGGGTAACAGGAATTTCTGCAGAGTGATTGTCAATGACATTTTGTGAACTTTACAAGTAATTAAAACACAAATTTAGTAAATTGAAACATAATTGTTGGTTTTTTTTATATGAAACTGCTTAAAAAAGCCTTTGAAAAGTGTTTTTGTGGTCTTTTCAGGGTATTTAATCAAAAACTTCAATATAAGGCAAAATTTAACTAAGAGTACATCAAGACTTTCGTTTCTAGATGTACTTGCAATACTGGTCAAAGCAAACACAGAAAACAATTCATATTTATTAAGCATAGTATTTTACACCATTCTTTTACAAACAGTCAATATGCAACTTTATATACCAAATATACATTGGCCGCAGTATGGGCTGTAGTATAAATTTTCTTCTATCTTTACAAGTTCAGCATTTATGAATGTTGTATTGAAACTGGAACTTGAAAATTGGATACATTACATGATTATTACAAAAAAAGAGGGAAAAGCTACTAAAAAGTCCCTTATAAGGGTAAATTCAGTAAATAAATATACGTCATCAGGATCCGCTCATTTGGGGGAGAGCTTTCTGTATAAAACTGAAGTCATGTGCTCTTCTGATTGGTAGATAATGTTTGTAATAAATATTTTTTGATAGATGGATAAAAACTAGAGTTGAAAAAAAATAAAAAATAAATGCTGAATGTACTAAATTTTTTTACTACAGGGTTGAAAAGTAATGGGGGTCAGTGAAGGAATTAAGTGCGAATCTACAGTGTTTGTAAACAAGGCCATGTGAATGCCCAAAAATGCCGCATGACCCTATGTTTTTATTGTTGCAAATGATAGGGCTACATTTGTACTTTCATGAATGATATATGAAATTTTCTAATTTCTAAAGGTAAATGAGGTATAAATTTAATTCAAGACATAGATTAGCATTACAGTCAATGGGAGATTTTTTTACTGAATTTACCCCTATAGGAAAATATGCATTCTGTCACTGTACTTGTCCAAGGCCACACAATAATCACAAAACTTATTCCCTGTGTATATTAATGTAATGGAAGCATTTTGGAACCATTTGAAGTTGTTTTTTACACAAATTTCTATGTTTAACTCGGCTATCCAAGATGCACTTAGTGTACTGTGAGAGGAAGCATGGGGTATATGGTAAAAATCAGTTTTTATGTCCAGATTGAAAGAAACAATAGAGATTACACTTGAGAGTTATGATATCAATGAAAGGCATAAATATTCCCCCCATTTTACAACACATTTTGCACATATTTCTCCTCATTATGTGTAAAATCATATGGAAAATCAGAATTACCTCCCTTTGACAGTGTATTTTTTTTTATCTGTGTTTCACCATGTTAAGTTGTAGAACAAGTTGTAAATAAGCACTTTTCAAGTATTTTAACACTTGAATAATCTGACCGCATGAAGATATTCATTTATTTTTACATAACGCATTGCGTTTCTTTATTTAAAAAAAATTGTAGATAACTTTTTATGATTACATGCCCTTCATCTATGAAACTAGTGTTGAAATGTTTGTAATTGGATTACTATGTTAAATAATTGCTTTTAAATATTTTAAATTGTTACTTTAATCTTCCAAATGCAAAGTTTGGTCATACCCAGTCTTATTTTTTCATATTTGACACTTTTTTCTACTTCAGTTTTGTCTGTCTAGTTTTGGCGAAGAAACCATCCTGATGTTGGGGTAACAGGAATTTCTGCAGAGTGATTGTCAATGACATTTTGTGAACTTTACAAGTAATTAAAACACAAATTTAGTAAATTGAAACATAATTGTTGGTTTTTTTTATATGAAACTGCTTAAAAAAGCCTTTGAAAAGTGTTTTTGTGGTCTTTTCAGGGTATTTAATCAAAAACTTCAATATAAGGCAAAATTTAACTAAGAGTACATCAAGACTTTCGTTTCTAGATGTACTTGCAATACTGGTCAAAGCAAACACAGAAAACAATTCATATTTATTAAGCATAGTATTTTACACCATTCTTTTACAAACAGTCAATATGAAACTTTATATACCAAATATACATTGGCCGCAGTATGGGCTGTAGTATAAATTTTCTTCTATCTTTACAAGTTCAGCATTTATGAATGTTGTATTGAAAATGGAACTTGAAAATTGGATACATTACATGATTATTACAAAAAAAGAGGGAAAAGCTACTAAAAAGTCCCTTATAGGGATAAATTCAGTAAATAAATATACGTCATCAGGATCCGCCCATTTGGGGGAGAGCTTTCTGTATAAAACTGAAGTCATGTGCTCTTCTGATTGGTAGATAATGTTTGTAATAAATATTTTTTGATAGATGGATAAAAACTAGAGTTGAAAAAAAATAAAAAATAAATGCTGAATGTACTAAATTTTTTTACTACAGGGTTGAAAAGTAATGGGGGTCAGTGAAGGAATTAAGTGCGAATCTACAGTGTTTGTAAACAAGGCCATGTGAATGCCCAAAAATGCCGCATGACCCTATGTTTTTATTGTTGCAAATGATAGGGCTACATTTGTACTTTCATGAATGATATATGAAATTTTCTAATTTCTAAAGGTAAATGAGGTATAAATTCAATTCAAGACATAGATTAGCATTACAGTCAATGGGAGATTTTTTACTGAATTTACCCCTATATATATTGATTTACTTGATTTTGTTTGATTGTATTTGAATTGTCTCCCTTTGACTTTGGTTGTTATTTACTGTTATTTATTTTGTAATTCTGTCCAACATGTCCTGTCTGGCCCTCATCTGTTAATGATCTCTGGTGGCCAGTGACAGTGATGCATGTGGCAAGACGAGAAGGCTGATGCCATCATTAACTTGTTCAACACATTCATGTAATCTATTCCAGAGTGATAAAAGATGACTATGACGTTACACACGGTATTCGGTCTATTTTTCATCTGACTTTTTCCTGATTTATAACTAGGATTTAAAGAAATCAAATCTACGCATTTTAAATGGTAAACTGTCTTGAATCATCAGTTGAATCAAAATAAAACAAAAACTGGTTTTTATATATTCAACAATATGATTTAGCGATGATTCCGTGTGCATGATGCGATTTTATACCGCGTAAGACGTAACAACAAAAACCTACCCCCTCCCGCCCATTTTTTTTTTTTTTTTGTATTACTTGAATATTTTTGTACATGCGTTATACCTTATTAAATCGAAGATGTTAGTCTTTTTCAGATAATGCAGATTGCTGAATTTGATGTCTTTATGGGATGTGACTGGTGCATTAATATATTTTGAAAGTTAATATTTATAATTAATATAGACTTTAAATGAAAAGTTATTTATGACATGTGTATGATCGTAAATGTATATTTATGCCAAAATATGATTATCATTACTTATGTGCTGAGTTTTGTTTTACTTACATCGAAATGGGAGTGGAGTGAATTTCAATTATGATATCCATTCACAACAAACTGAATGTAGTTCAAATTTATTTTTCCTGTGCCTGTTTATAATGGTCTTGATAACTCACCTGACTCACAGCTGGCAAAGACTTTTGGCAACTAATAAAGATGACAGCCACTTTTTTTTCCAGCAGCCAATTTTATTGATATGTTTAAAAACCAAAAAGCTGTATAAAACTCAAACTTTCCAAAAATCTCATAATCTTGTTTAAATATAATAGCACCTCTTAACGGAATTCGACACTTTGACGTATTTTCGTGAATCTCAAAAGATGACATTCCGTTGTATAAACCGATGATGCCAGCAGCTACTTTTTCGGAGGACACTGTTTGTTTGGAAAAAAAAATATTACAATTGAAAATTTGTTTTTCGTTCTTTTTCTCGTTTTTTAATTCCATATGATTAGGAGGTACAGAAACAATGTAGGAATAGAAAATTAAAAAATCAAAGGACAACTACCATTGTTATAATAATTGATTACAGTAAAGTTGTGATGAATAATCTTATATATATATATATATATATATATATCCATTGAACCGAATGAGAAAGATGCAATGTACGACAGAAAAACTAAATAAAGGCTTTCCATACACTCGGCATCCTCAAATACGCATTATTGTCCAAACCATTTTAAATATTTATTTCTCTATACATGAAATGAAAACTTTCGGTAATCTGTTTTTTAATGTGAACAAGTATTTTCTATAGAAAATTCTACGTGGACTATTTTATACGGCATCCGACATTACCAATTTATTAATTTCAATTGAAATTTGTCGGTAAAAAATGTAACAGTGGTGTCCAGACGGGCCAGGATGCCAGGAAAATACTAAAGTGGAGAATAGCCTCGGTCAAAACCCTTTGCTCCAAAATACTGGCGTTTGCAAATATTAGGTTCCGTATCCCAATAATATCGTTTGGTCGTACGGACCATGAACATATATTTATTTCAATCTAAGGTACGTTTCATTTCATATGATCATCAAAAGGCATATGAACACCAAATGGATAAAAGGCGTAGCATGAAAATCACCAATCCAAGAACCTAATTTTTACCGTTATAAATCTATCAAGATAGATAACAAGTGTACCTTTACCCGTTGATGCTTCCTGTCTCGCTCCCTCTTGAGTTTAAACTATCCCTCATTTTTGTTTTGTTCTATTGATTTATCTCTTTTTATTCGATTTACGAGATTTGAACATAAGCAAAATTTTGTTGCCATAACTAACAATTTATGTTCTGTTGATGAATCGATGAGTGGATTAATAGGCAAAGGCGACTATTGGCTTTGTGCTTTTCACACATTATTACTGATAATGCATAGAACAAATAAAAAAAATCTAGATGTATTACGAAATTTTTTAATGAAAATATAAAACAAATGAGTACAATTCAATATATGTTGTATCTTACAAAAGACGTCTTAATTCTTATTAATAACAATCAGAAAATTGAAGGCATTAAAACAATGTATGGCATAGAATGAATGATGTGGCGTTTTAACGCCTAACAAATATGATATGGCAACATTATGACTGAAATGCAAATTCTATGGTATAATCACGCCTATTATGCAATTATATGGTATAATCGACTATTATGCAATTCTATGGTATAATCACACCTATTATGCAATAATATGGTATAATCACGCCTATCATGCAATTCTATGGTATAATCACGCCTATATATTCTGCAATTCTATGGTATAATCACGCCTATATATTCTGCAATTCTATGGTATAATCACGCCTATATATTCTGCAATTCTATGGTATAATCACGCCCATCATACAATTATATGGTATAATCGCGCCTATCATGCAATTCTATGGTATAATCGCGCCTATATATCCTGCAATTCTGTGGTATAATCACGCCTAGCATACAGTTCTATGGTATAATCGCGCCTATCATGCAATTCTATGGTATAATCGCGCCTATATATCCTACAATCATATGGTATAATCACGCCTATCATGCAATTCTATGGTATAATCACGCCTATTGTGCAATTATATGGTACATTTATATTCAAGCCTATCATGCAATGATATGGTGTTACCAAGGTTGATAGTTGACAGTATATTTATAAATGTATCAAAACACTGAAGCTGAAGGTATAAAACTCATATCTATATCATGCTTTTATTCGGTTCGAAACTTTACATTTAAAACAGTCTGATATTGATGTCTCAATTGTTGTTCACAGTTCATATCATTTTATATTACAACACCTAGCATACAAGAAAAGAAATACAGATCTGTAATAACCTCACATTCATTTTCATTAATTCTAAGTTCAAATAAACTTTACAAAAGCATATTTTAATCAAAAATTAACTAAAAGGTTTCTAAAAATTAACAAGCCAGAAAGGAAGAAGAAAGCATTGCCATTAAACTCACGTAATATTTTAGTATTTATGCCATACCTGTAGAATTGAAAGGTACATGCAAGTTTTTTTTAATACTCAAAACTCAACGATTGTTTCCTTATGTACAACAACACTAATATTTGTATATGCGGTTCTTCCACATTAAACATGTTAAAAGTAAAAAACAAAATTATTATGACCATATTTTTCTTAATCTAAATACAATAAAAACAACAACAACAAGAGGCTGTCCGAGTGACAGCAAACCGGATTTTCCTGCAGAGGTCGAACCCTGAACAGTTGAACTAGTATGGACACTACATTTAAGCTTAAAACAGCTCTGAATTTGGATTGTGATTGAATATTTGACACATCACAGGTTTGTGACACAAAATGAATGTGGTTTAAGAACTGAAATACTTGAAATTGGACATTTAAATACCTATAATGGTCCAATATCAACAATCTAAGTACATATTAGAATCAGCATATCAAAGAACCCCAAGAATTCAATTTTTGATGAAATCAGACAAAAGTTTAATTTAAGACCCTTTGGACATCAATGTGGACCAATTTGATAAAGAAGCCCACAATCCAAAATCTCTCAATACATGGTTAGATTCAGCATTTCAAAGAACCCCATAAATAATTTTTTTGTTGAATCAAACGAAGTTTCATTTTGGACTCTGATTTGGACAAACTTGAAAACTGGTCCCAAAAATCTAATAATTACAGGTTTAGATTAAGCAATTTAAAGAACCCTATATATATTTAATTTATGTTGAAATGAAACACAGGTTAATTTTATCCATAATATTTTCTGTGCAAAGGGAAATAACTCAAACTGGATAAATAGTTCTCTAAAATAAGATATGATGCAATTTTTCAAATTATAATCAATAATATAATAACAACAACCAGTGATGACTAAGTTCTCTAAAATTAGATATGATTTAACACTCAAACATTGCTAGAATCAGCATATCAAAGAACCAAAGAATTCAATTTTTGATGAAATTAATTAAAAGTGTAATTTAGGACCCTTTGGACCTCAATGTGGTATTATCTTATTAATAATGAAAAGAAATACAGGTTTAGATGAAGCATTTCAAAGAACCCTATATATATTCAATTAATGTTGAAATCAAAAACAGTTTAATTTTGGACCCCAATTTAGACCAACTGGAAAACTGGGCCCAAAATCAGAAATCTAAATATATGTTTATTAATAGACAATATAAGCTTAGTTTTTAAAGGAGTTTACTTCATCAAAAAAAAATATATAGCATTCAGAAAATTAGTTTTTATAGAATAACAAACAAACTTGCCACAAAATTCTACAAACAATTTACCAAAGAAAAGAAGAAAAAATTCCAAAATTGTATTTATCATTAATACAATGTCATTTCAAAATCTATAAAACTTATCAGTAACAAGAAATAATTGTAACAGAATGCTGTTACGAAGTCTCCCAAACAAAGCTCCAATAATTCGTCATTCCCATTGTCGCTTGACATTGCGCAATGTCCTGTACAAATTGGTTTATGATATGCATTAATGACGTCTATGGATTGACCCTGTATGTCATTCAAATTTTCTTGAAATTACGAACAGGAATTTATATGGTTAAGGGGTGGAGATCTCGACCGTTTACAAGTTCTCAAAAGGAGGGTGATCCCCAGGGGACTCTCCCTTTATTTCATATGATTTGGTTTTTTTGTCCTGTACAAGAATATATATGGTTTAAGGGCCGGGATCTTGACCGTTTACAAGTTCGTAAACAGGAGGGGGTGGGGGTGACCCCAGGGGACTCGCCTTATATTTCATTTGATTTGTTTTATGGTCCCATACAAGAATATACATGCATATGGCTTCCGCATGGGGATCTTGACCGTTTACAAGTTATCAAAAAGAAGGGGGGGGGGGTGAACCCCATGGACTTCCCCTGTATTTCATTTGATTTATTTTATTGCATACAAGAATATATATGGTTAAGGGGTGGGGATTTCGACCGTTTACAATTTCTCAAACAGGAGGGGTGGGGTGACCCCAAGGGACTCGCCTTTTATTTTTTATTTGATTTGTTTTATTGTCCCATACAAGAATATATATAGTTTCAGGGTGTGGATCTTGACCGTTTACAAGTTTTAAAAAAGAAAGAGGGTGGGGGTGACCCCCATGGACTTCCCCTATATTTCATTTGATTTGTGTTATTGTCCCATACAAGAATATATATGGTTTAGGGGTGGGGATCTCGACTGTTTACAAGTTACCAAAAAGAAGGGGGTGGGGGTGACCCCATGGATTTCCCCTATATATCATTTGATTTGTTGTATTGTCCCATTCAAGAATATATATGGTTAAGGGGTGGGGATCTCGACGGTTTACAAGTTCTTAAACAGGATGGGGTGGGGTGACCCCAGGGGACTCGTCTTTTATTTCATTAGATTTGTTTTATTGTCCCATACAACAATATATATGGTTTCGGGGTGGGGATCTTGACCGTTTACAAGTTTTCAAAAAGAAGGGGGTGGGGGTGACCCCCATGGACTTCCCCTATATTTCATTTGATTTGTGTTATTGTCCCGTACAAGAATATATATATGGATTAGGGGTGGGGATCTCGACCGTTTACAAGTTCTCAAACAGGAGGGGGTGGGGGTGACCCCAGGGGACTCGCCTTTTATTTCATTTGATTTGTTTTGTTGTTACATACAAGAATATGTATGGTTTCACGGTTGGGATCTTGACCGTTTACAAGTTTTCAAAAAGTAGGGGGGTTGGGGTGAACCTGGGGACTCCCCAAATATTTCATTTGATTTGTGTTATTGTCCCATACAAGAATATATATGGTTTAGGGTGGGGATCTCAACCGTTTAAAAGATAAAAGCAAATACTCAAATTGAAAGGGGGTGGGGGTAAGAATATATATGGTTTAGGGAGACTAAATTATCTACAAAATGTCTAATAATGAACAGTAAATTTCAAATTTCATTTATACAGTCCTACTAGTAAATTTCAAACTTTATATATACAGTCCTACAGATCTTATCAGAAAACAGAAAATTTTCAAATAAATCTGTCACTCCAATGATATTATATGCTAAGATATAACCCAGATCTAATTAATAATTATTAATGTAATTAACTTCAAAATGTCTAATAATATGGCTTATAATCATTACCACTTAGGAAATAGATAATTTTCAAATAAATCTGTCACTCCAATTTTTATTTTGAGATAAGACATCATGCTTAGTCATAAAAAAGATAACAAGAGCAAAATATTTAAACATTCCACTTTTGGATATTAAAAATGGCGATAACTCACAAAGAAGATATACTAGTATCTTGAAAATTGAACTAGACCTTCATTAAGTCCAAGGAAACAACATATTTAAAATTGAAAAAAAATTGTTAAAGCGTTTTCATGTTATTGTGCTGACACTGTTTGGCAGCCGCCCGTAGGTCCGCCTAGCCGCCCGCCGTACATCACCATTTTAATAACCGATATTTCCTTTGAAAATCCTGTTAAAAATGTTTGCTACTGCTTATTTATCATACCACAGCTTTCAGAATGCTAAATAAGAAGCTGATGAGCGATCAATTAGAAAATTTATTACACAGTAAAGCATATTCACATGAAGCCTAATAACACATTTAGAAAGCTCTTATATTCGTAGTTCCCTAGAAGAGTGAGTCGAACATTTCATGCATGGCGGTAAACAGGAAATTGAAGCTCAGGAGTTTCGTGAGACGAATGGAAAAACGGGTATACATGAGGACAGACAGAGGTAAACCGGTATAACACAAACACTACGTAAAAATTAATATTATTATCATAAAATGCGAACGTGTTTTTAATTTAATTTTCCATTTTCTAAGAAAATGCGACCAATCGTTCCCTTATAGTGTTCGTATAAATTGTGTAGAATGCATTACTTAAGTGAGGTTACTCCTACAACTATATCTCTCAAATCAGAGAGATTTTCAAAAACTTGTTTCATATTTTTCAGTAGCAGCTAGGTACATGAAATGAAAAGATAAACTCTCTGCGTTATGTGTTACTATCAAAATTGACTTATCCTGGTCTTTACAAAAAGTTATACATAAATGAGAGGCACAGTAAGTATTTATACAATGTACAAGAGTGCACACGCTGAAATGTCTCGCCTTCTTTACTAATCATTGATATTATGTTGATAGTCCTAAATATAAAGCTTTATTACAACTGTCACATAAACTTAATATTAACCAAGTAAACTAAACATTGACCAAAGAACCATGAAAATGAGGTCAAGGTCAGATGAACCATGCTAGGCAGGCATGTACAGCTAACAATTCTTCCATACAACAAATATAGTTGACCTATTGCTTATAGTTTAAGAAAAAAAGACCAAAACACAAAAACTTAACACTGAGCAATGAACCTTGAAAATGAGGTCAAGGTCAAATAAAACCTGCGTGACTGACAAATAGATCATAAAATATTTCCATACACCAAATATAGTTGAACTATTGCATACAGTATTAGAAAAAAAGACCAAAATTCAAAAACTTAACTTTGACCACTGAATCATGAAAATGAGGTCAAGGTCAGATGACACCTGCCAGCTAGACATGTACACCTTACAATCATTCCATACACCAAATATAGTAGACCTATTGCATACAGTATTAGAAAAAAGACCAAAACTCAAAAACTTAACTTTGACCACTGAACCATGAAAATGAGGTCAAGGTCAGATGACACCTGCCAGCTAGACATGTACACCTTACAATCATTCCATACACCAAATATAGTAGACCTATTGCATACAGTATAAGAAAAACAGACCAAAACACAAAAACTTAACTATAACCACTTGAACAATGAAAATGAGGTCAAGGTCAGATGACACCTGCCAGCTAGACATGTACACCTTACAATCATTCCATACACCAAATATAGTAGACCTATTGCATACAGTATAAGAAAAACAGACCAAAACACAAAAACTTAACTATAACCACTGAACCATGAAAATGAGGTCAAGGTCAGATGACACCTGCCAGTTGGACATGTACACCTAACAGTCCTTCCATACACCGAATATACTAGACCTATTGCTTATAGTATATGAGATATGGACTTGACCACCAAAACTTAACCTTGTTCACTGATCCATAAAATGAGGTCGAGGTCAAGTGAAAACTGTCTGACGGGCATGAGGACCTTGCAAGGTACGCACATACCAAATATAGTTATCCTATTACTTATAATAAGAGAGAATTTAACATTACAAAAAATCTTAACTTTTTTTTCAAGTAGTCACTGAACCATGAAAATGAGGTCAAGGACATTGGACATGTGACTGACGGAAACTTCGTAACATGAGGCATCCATATACAAAGTATGAAGCATCCAGGTCTTCCACCTTCTAAAATATAAAGCTTTTAAGAAGTTAGCTAACGCCGCCGCCGCCGGATCACTATCCCTATGTCGAGCTTTCTGCGACAAAAGTCGCAGGCTCGACAAAATGAATCAACAATTCGAGTGTCATTAAAGTTACAAAGAAGTCAATACAAAAGGTTTCGAGTTTAAAAGCTTCTTTCACTGATTTCATAGAAAGAACGTTTAAACAGATAATTCTTCCAACCAGCTGTTTTCGTTAATTTCTCACCCATCGCCATGCTAGGAAGAATACAATCCCAGAGAAAACTCCTCCGATTCCACCAACAATACATAGCCCAAAGGAATAGTAATATTTGGAATTATCCAACTTATATCCATCGAATGACATTGTTGCGAAGACAATTACTCCGACCAAGGCAAGTCCTCCTGAAATATATATATATATATATTAAACTAACCATCTTACTTATTTCCCCAAAAAATAATAACCTGTATCTATTATGTATGAAAACACATGTACCCCAATTCGTATATTTTTATATAATAGCAGACCTTCTATTGATCCCTACGTCACTATATGACTGGTTATTCAAACATTCGTAAGGGTTCCGCGGAACCCAGTGTCTCGCCTACTTTGCTGTTAATCGCAGGCTTAACAAAAATGAGGAAAAAATTTAATAAAAATATTCCTCTCTATACTATCTTTTGATTGTAAGTAGCTTTGGTCAAAGTTTGGTAAAAATCCAGGATAGTTTATGAATCTAATAAATGTTTTAAAAACTTAAACTGCAGACTATGTAATGTTAACTGGAAGAAAAACTAAGTCCATTTATAAGTAAAATACGGAAAAAATGGAACAAAATTTTAACAAAATTTCCTTCTAGATACTAGCTTTTAATCATAAACAAGCTTCTGTCCAAGTTTGGTACAAATCCAAGATAGTTTAAGAAAGTTGTTAAAATTTTAAAAACTTTAACCACAGAGTGAATGTAATGTTAACTGGTCCATTTATAAGTAAAATACGGAAAAAATGGAATTTTTTTTTTTTTACAAAATTTACTTTTGAATATTATCTTATGATCATAAACAAGCTTCTGTCCAAGTTTGGTAGAAATCCAGGATAGTTTAAGAAAGTTATTAAAATTTCAAAAACTTTAACCACAAAGTGATTATTTGTGGACGCCGCCGCCGACGACGACGACGCCGACGGAATGTAGGAACTTAGAGAGTGCTTAAATAAACTGTTGACACAGAGATATGTCTCGCCTATCGGCATAAAACTCAGAAAAAGACAATCTAATGGACAACAACATTGCTTATTTATTCAGTCGCTGGACCATGATCTAGTGGGCAGGGCCTGAAAATGGTCCACAAACTGAGATGTACAGACAAAAATGTAACTTTATGAAAATATCGTTGTTTATTGTAAATAGTTCCTATCAATATAACATAAGCAAAAAAAACTTATCATTGAAAACTGCTAATTAATTCAAAGTCACTGGACCATGACAACCGGAGCAGGGCCTCGAAATAGTAATCAAACTGATATAAACTGATAGAAATGCAACTTCATACAAAATATCATTGATCTATCACAAGTAGATCCTATCAAACTAACTTAAGCAGAAAAATTAACATTGAAAATTGCTAATTAATTCAAAGTCACTGAACCATGTCCTTAGGAGACAGGGCCTCAAAATAGTCGTCAAACTGATATGTACTGATAGTAAATACAACTTCATACAAAATATCATTGATTTATCACAAGTAGATCCTGTTAAACTAACTTAAGCATAAAACTTAACATTGAAAATTGCTTATTAATTCAAAGTCATTGGACTATGTCCTAGGGGGTAGGGCCTCAAAATAGTCGTCAAACTGATATGTACTGATAGTAAAGCAACGTCATTCAAAATATCATTGATCTATCACCAGTAGATTCTATCAAACTAACTTGAGCAGAAAACTTAACATTGAAAATTACTTATTAATTCAAAGTCATTGGACCATGTCCTAGGGGGCAGGGCCTCAAATTAGTCGTCAAACTGATATGTACTGATAGTAATGTAACTTCATATCAAATATCAATGATCTATCACAAGTGGTTTCTATCAAACTAACTTAAGCAGAAAACTTAACAATTGTTGACGCCGGAGCCGGAGCCGTCGTCGTTGCCGGGAAAGCAATCCCTATGTCTCGCTTTCTGCGACTTTCGTCGCAGGCGAGACAAAAAGAGAGGTAAAAGATACCAAAGGGACATTCAAACTCATAATTCGCAAATAAACTGACAACACCATGGCAAAAAATAAGAAAAAAGACAAACAAACAACAGTACATAAAACACAACATAGAAAACTAAAGACTGAGCAACACGAAGCCCATAAAAAACTGGGGATGACTTAAAAATACACATACAGATAGTAAATATGAGCCAAGGCTCCGTGTTGAAGACCGTACTTTGACCTATAATGGTTTACTTTTATAAATTTTGACTTGAATGGAGAGTTGTCTCATTGGCACTCAAACCACATCTTCTTATATCTATAGACCACTAAAAACGAACATTTGGAACTAACTCTTTAAAGTTATTTGTAGATCTTGTCTTCTTGGTCAATTTTGTTGTTTGAATTTTTTTTTTTTTTTTTATAGTTTTAAAAAAAAATAGGCAATAACTAAAAACAAGAGGCTATCAAGAGCCTGAATCGCTCACCTTTAATTGTTTGCTCAAATCTTTCATCAATGATTACTTTTGCTTTTCAATATATATTAATGAGTGGCTTAAAAATGCCATTTAAATGTTCTTTGTATCTGTCATATTTTCTTCAAAAGCAAAAAAATGCATTTAACCCAATGTTCCATTTTAGCTATAGTGGCTATGTTTCTTGACGTACGAGAAAATAAAATATAAAATTTATACTAGATACTATGAAACTCATCCACCCCAAGTTTGGCTGAAATTGACTAAGCAGTTTCAAAGGAGATTTTTTTACGTAAGTAAACTGGATGAACAAATTGTGATAAATTGTCTTTAAAGGGCAATAACTCCTTAAGGGGTCAATTGACAATTTTGGTCATATAAACTTATTTGTAGATCTTACTTTGCTGAAAATTTTTTGCTGTTTACAGTTTATCTTTATCTATAATAATATTCAAGATAATAACCGAAAACTGGAAAACTTCCCTAAAATCATCAATTCGAGGGCAATAACCTAAAAATTAGATACCCAATTTGGCTGATAATTTCAGGGCAGGTAGACCTTGACCTAATGAATACTTTAACTTCTTGTCTGATTTGTTCTAAAAGCTTTAGTTTTTGAGATATAAGGTCTGAATTTGGATTGTAATTAAATATTTGATATATTATAGGTTTCTGAATAAATGTAGTCATAGAACTTGAAATTGGTTATATGAAAGATTTCTTGCTGTTGTGCAATACACTTTGCTGTAGCGTAATACTTAGTAAATCTGTTGTCAGACTATAAACAAATAAAATCTTATATATATTAACTTGTTTTATTGTAAACAAAAACACAGCATTTTTGTTTTCTGTTTAAGACAAATAAGAATTCAAATAGAACTCATTTCAGTTTACTTGCATGTTTTCTTTTCGTACTCTGCGGCGCTTCCGCCATGATTGTTATGTATGACGTCAAATGTTTTTAATATTGACCGTCAATATACGTATAAATAGAAACATAGCGTCAATATACTTAATCAAAGCACTGTAAGCGCTGTAGGCAGTTAACCAAAAACCAAGGCAAACGTAATTATGAAAACTGTGGCAGTGTTGCTTCAATAATTTTTTTTTAAGATTTGAAAGAACAAACATTAAACATTCGTATATTGTACATTTATGTTCATTAAATGAATTGATTATTAAGGCAAATTAATTAATAGTTCATCAAGGTTTTCAAAAGCAACTCATATATCAATGTAAATGACCCCCATCTTCACCACCAAGAGCATGATGTTACTCCATACCAAGTTTGGAATAAAATGACAGGCGATTATAAAACAGTTGGTCAAACATTCTCGGGCTTTACACTGCTTGAAAGATTTATATGTTTTCTTTAAAATGAGCCATAAATGAAAATTATTATAGGCCCAGAAATAATTTAATAAATAATTAAAGTAAATTCAATTAACCTAGACTCATTTTTTGCATCAATAAAATTTTATAATAAACAAGAAATAATTGTAACAGGATGCCGTTACGAAGTCTCCCAAACAAAGCCCCCATAATTCGTCATTCCCATGGTCTCCTGACATTGGGCAATGTCCTGTTCATATTGGTTTGGTCTAGTAAAGTGATATGCATATGTGACACCTAGGAGATTGACCCTGTATGTCATTCAAATCTTTTTGAAATGATGAACAGGAATAAATATGGTTTAGTTGTGTCTATCTCATCCGTTTACAAGTTCTCAAATAGGAGGGGGTGGAGTGACCCCAGGGACCCCCTATATTTCATTTGATTGTTATATTGTCCCATACATGATTACATATGGTTTAGGGGTGGGGATCTCGACCATTTCCAAGTTCTCAAACAGGAGGGGGTGGGGTGACCCCAGGGACTCCCCAAATGTTTCATTTGATTTGTTATATTGTCTCATACATGAATATATATGGTTTAGGTGTAGGGATCTTGACTGTTTACAAATTCTCAAACAAGAGGGGGTAGGGTGTCCCTATGGACTCCCCCTATATTTCATTTGTTTTATTGTCCCATACATGAATATATATGGTTTAGGGGTGGGGATCTCGACCGTTTACAAGTTCTCAAATAGGAGGGGGTGGGGTGATTCCCAGGGACTCCCCATATATTTCATTTCATTTGTTTTATTGTCCCATACATGAATATATATGGTTTAGGGGTGGGGATCTCAACCATTTCGAAGTTCTCAGACAGGAGGGGGTGGGACGATACCGGGGACTCCCCCAAATTATTTTCATTTGATTTCTTTTATTGTCCCATACAAGTGTATATATATATATATATATTGTTTAGGGGTGGGGATCGCGACGGTTTACAAGATAAAAGTACATTTTCAAATTGAAGGGGGTTGGGATGACCCCAGGGACTCAACCTATATTTTGGTTGATTTTTGTATTGTCCTGTTCTCATTACTGAAGACTGCATGTGTCTATCACTTTCTGTTTTCGAGAAAGAGTCATTTGAAAATTAAAAAAAATAAAATCCCATAGGGTTCTATAGTAAACCCCTCCCTTCTTCATGCCCCTCCAAATACCCCTTAATAGACCCCAATGCACAAACAAAAGATTAATGGCTCCGCTAGACATGTAAGTCTAATATTTTATGAAACCCTACCTAAATCTGACAAACGGTCAAAGTTGTCTTCTCAGACGGTTTGAGTGGATTCGGTCCGACTTGTCTCGGGGACGAGTTGTCCACATTACTTAAAAGA